ACAAGATTAGATATCTTGGACTGATACTTTCTAATAACTCTCTGCAGCCTCTCCCCAGTAATATCAAAGCTTTATTAGAATTTCAATTCCCCAAAACCAAGAAGCTCATGCGTAGCTTTCTTGGTTCTGTAAATTTTTATGCACGGTTTATCCCGAACCTTACTGATCTTACAGGCATCTTATCCGACTTCCTTAAAAAGTCTGTGAAGGAACCTCTTGAACTTTCCGACGTAGCTCGGGAAAAGTTTAATGAGATTAAAAATATTTTTTCGAAAGACCCTACACTTAAGATTCCAGATATTAATAAAACATTTTGCTTAAGAACTGATGCCTCCAATACTGGCTTAGGTGTGGTGTTACTACAATACCATGATGGTACTCCCTTCCCTGTATGCTTCTTAAGCCGGAAACTCCTTCCTGCAGAAACGAGATACTCCTCTGTAGAAAAGGAATGTTTAGCCCTTGTGTGGGGTATCTTCAAACTTAAATTTTATTTGCTGGGAAAAGAATTCATTTTAGAAACGGACCACAAACCTTTGATATACCTAGAAACTTTTAAGGGAACCAACAGTCGCCTCTTGAGGTGGACATTGGCACTCCAGGCTTTTAAGTTCCATATTGTGTATATCAGTGGTTTATCCAATTATTTCTCTGACTGGTTAAGTCGTGACAGTCAGTAGAAGATTTGTTGCCTTACGTGACTTCCACATGTTAGAACTTTTTCCTCGCCTATTCTTCTTATACTCCTTGACTATAAGTCTTGGTATGGGGGAGTGTGAGGGAAAAGTTCAATAGATAGGAGTAGCGAGGGAATATATAGTAACAATAGCTTCATTGCCGGCTACTTGTTAAGGTAGGGTAAGTCCAGCTCCCGCTATTCCTGCCTTTTCTCCCCCACCCGTAAAGTGATAGTTTGTTTGCCGGCTGCTTGTTAACGTAGGGTCAGTCTAGCTCTCACTATCCCTTCCCCTCCCTCTTCCCCCCCGAAAGGTGACGTGTGGGGCTCTGGTCAAACAGTAAATCACTCGACTCACAGCTCCCAACACTACTCTTGGATGACAGAGGAGGGTCACCTGTCAATCAACGAGAAAAACTGAAGGAGACGGACTAACGTGCTGGAGACGTCCCATATTGGATTTGCTTGCCTGTGCACTTGTATGAAGAATCAGGACATAACCCTTCATCATTACAGCGGTCAAGAACCTGATCTCCTGTCATCGGGAAAGATTACTTACGGCCATTAGAACGAGCCAGTGGGTTGTCACTTGGCAGACGATGCACCATCCCCCCAATGAAAAGCAGGGGTGTCACTAGCACGTTAAGAGACCATACAATAAGTGTCAGGGGCCCGAGACTGTTCAACTGCCTCCCAGCACACATAAGGGGGATTACCAACAGACCCCTGGCAGTCTTCAAGCTGGCACTGGACAAGCACCTAAAGTCAGTTCCTGATCAGCCGGGCTGTGGCTCGTACGTTGGTTTGCGTGCAGCCAGCAGCAACAGCCTGGTTGATCAGGCGCTGATCCACCAGGAGGCCTGGTCACAGACCGGGCCGCGGGGGCATTGACCCCCGAAACTCTCTCCAGGTAATACTCCAGGTAAACAACTGCGACCCCCCCCTTCCCCACATCATCAGCAACGGCTTCTATTGCAACAATACGCAGTGTCACCAACACCAGACACCCAAGTTTTTAGCATTGAATTCAGATATCATTTATATTTTTAATTTTTCATTTTCTTTCATGTAGGATCAGTATTTCATATTTAAGTGTTTTATATTTCATATTTCGTAAATAATAAAGTGTTTATATTTGTCAGTTTTTGTTCTTTTTCTATTCATTAATTTTCCTGAGGAGGAGCCAGCCTTAGTAATACTGACTGAAGTTGTTACAGGGCTGAGTAAGCCTTCACAGTTTAGTAGTCCTGAGTAAATTAGAGAAACTGTTACGTACAGGCCAACCTCCCTACCACTTGTTGCGTGTTTATTCTGTCACATTGGAATAGGTTATAACCTGGGATCCATATTTCGTTGTCAAAATGGTCCTTTATGTTGGTTTCTGTGAATGCTGCAAACATACATTTGACTCGATGAGCAGTCCCTTAATGTAGGGATTTTTTTTGTTTGTTGATGGCTATAGACTCAGTATGTTTGCAAAGACAAATGTCGTCATATTGGTGGAATTTAGGGGTTTTTATTTGCTGGCTCTAATATCTGTTGTTTTGGAGTGGAGGCCAATGACTGTGCCTCTGCTCCAGAAGTGTTTTCAGTAGGTGTAAGATTGCTGTAATTTCTTACCAGTCTTTGTTCCGTCTGGGTCCTAAAAACTTCTTTTACCTTATTCCTAGTATATATCCTTTACAGTATAATAATAAGATATTAACTCCTTTAGAGAATAATAATAAGGTGTTAGAAGGAAATGGAAATAAGTCACTTTGTCTGACTTTTTTGGGTTATCCTAGTTTCTCTACATATATGCTGTTGTATATGATAATCTATGTAACTGTATTTTTGTATACCTGAACAAACTTACTTAAGTCAAGGTTCCTTTCCCGAGCGCTGGAAGTTAAGGCTCTATACGACGTACACTGTCAGTGGCCCTATAAACAACATCACCAATACTTGTTATTTCTTGGTGGCTGTGATAAACCCAACAATAGACTTCTGCGTCAGCCTTCTTCGGGTGTGGAGCTGTATAGCCCTTGTGGCTTAGCGCTTCTTTTTGATTATAATAATAATCTTCGGGTGTGGATGTCTCTCTCTCGCCTGAGTATGTGACAAATTTCCCCCGTTCTCACTGGGACGCTTGTCCTCATTTATTACAGACTTAAACAACTATAGGCCCCTCAAGGAAGGTTCCTTGATGTTGGTGAGGGGCTCTTGATTTAGGGAATTGGATCTGTGCTTCAGTTCCCCAAATTAAGCCTGAATGCCTTCCACATCCCCCCCCAGGCGCTGTATAATCCTCCGGGTTTAGCGCTTCCCCCTTGATTGTAATAATAATAATTAAACAACTATAGGCCAATATCAAACTTACCATTGCTATCCAAAATCTTTGAGAAACTCGTGCACAGGAGACTATATTCATTTATAACGGCACAAAACATACTCAACCCCTGCCAATTTGGATTCCGGAAAAATAAAAGCACTAATGATGCAATCATAAAAATGCTAGATCTGCTTTACACAGCATTGGAAAATAAGGAATATCCACTAGGAATTTTTATTGACCTAAGAAAATCTTTTGACACAGTAGACCACGACATCCTACTCCACAAACTTGACCATTATGGTATAAGAGGCCATGCTCTTGCTTATTTCAAATCTTACCTTACTAATAGGTATCAGTATGTCACCATTAAAGACAGCATCAACAACACGGCCACTTGATACTGGAGTTCCGCAGGGAAGCGTCCTTGGTCCCCTGCTCTTCCTCATATACATCAATGATCTTCCAAATGTATCCCAACACCTGAAACCCATTCTCTTTGCTGACGACACGACTTATGTCATCTCTCACCCTAATCTTGCCATTGTTAACGAGGAGCTGATCAAAATATCGACTTGGATGACAGCCAATAAACTTACGCTTAACACTGACAAAACCTACTATATTATGTTTGGTAGCAGAGCAGGTGTTGCGCAACTTAACATTAAGATCGACAACACTCTAATTACCAGACATAATGAGGGCAAATTCCTAGGCCTATACCTTGACAACAACCTGAATTTCAGCACCCATATCCAACACATAACCAAAAAAGTATCCAAAACGGTGGGATCCTCTCCAAGATACGATACTACGTGCCGCAAAATGCCCTTCTCATACTATACTACTCATTTATCCATTCCTCACCTATGCTATTTGTGCTTTGGGATCAACTGCAGCAACACACCTAAAGCCAATAATAACCCAACAAAATGCTGCAGCAAGAATAATCACTAAATCCCATCCCTGGCAACACACTCCCCCACTCTTCATAGATCTAAACTTACTCCCTGTTCAGTACATCCACACTTACTACTGTGCAATCTACATCTACAGGACCTTAAACTCCAATATCAATCTTGACCTAAAATGCTTTCTTGATAGTTGTGACAGAACCCACAGGCATAACTCCAGACACAAACATCTCTACGACATTCCCTATGTCCGACTAAACCTTTACAAAAATTCAATGTATGTCAAAGGCCCTAAAATCTGGAACACCCTACCTGAGAACTCTAGAACTGCAGACACATTCATCACCTTCAAAACTACCATTAGAAAACATCTTATCTCCCTGATACATCCCATCAACTAACTACACGAATACCACTTGGTGGTTCACACTTACACTCACTCACCCATTTGACCATAAACAGAAATATTAATCTCAATCTTAAAATAATGAATCCTGTGATACTCCAATACTGAAACTATGTACTGTGCCAAAACAAAAGCATTCACATTGCTAAACTCACAAACTAGTATTTAGTCACTTAGCCATAATACCAACTTACCTCATAATTTGTAATATTTTAAAATTAAGAATTAAACTAAGTCTGCCTGAAATGCCTAGCCATGCTAGGTGCTCTAGTGGTACATTCTGTAGTCATTATTTTACTACATGTAAACCACACAATAACCAAATTCTGTAAACTTAGCATTGTAATCCTTATAGAGAATAAACTTTGAATTGAATTGAATTGAATTGAATTTAGCCCGCGTGGCAATCTACAGGAAGGGCACCTATTCATCGGCTTACTTTAGTCAGCTCCATTTTTTCCGCTCTGCGGAAAATTCTTTAACGGTCTTTGGTGGGAAGCCGGTTACTGAACTCAGGCGGGGGTGTGGGCGTCCCTCTCTGCTGGGGCTTGACAGGGGGATCCACCAGATCTAATTGGGAACTCCAAGTTTCTATCTCTATATACAAAGGAGCTTTTGTTCCCTTTCTCTCATCGTCCAGCCTTGGGCAACAATTTTCTCTCGTACCATCGAGAAACCGGGTTCGATACTCCGGCTCAAGCTGTCAGTGGCCCTGATAAACCCAACAACAACAACAACAACAACCCAACAATAAACAGTATTTATTGTGTCTAACAGGTGAGTGACACTTATTACCTTTATTACAATACAACATTTATGTGTTAGATGATACATAGAGAGAGTTTGACTCATGAAATATTATGTATTAAGGTGAGGAGGAGCCAGACATGATCATATCTCCGTCTGTGTCTTGTTGACTGTGTGAGGTGTTAGGTGCTCAGGCAGCAGCAAGTGTGAGGTGTTAGGTGCTCATGTGTTGAGTGTGTGAGGTGTTAGGTGCCTTAGTGTTGAGTGTGTGAGGTGTTAGGTGCTCAGGTATTAAGTGTGTGAGAAGTTAGGTGCTCAGGTGTTGAGTGTATGAGGTATTATGTGCTTAGGCAGCAGCAAATGTGAGGTGTTAGGTGCTCAGGCAGCAGCAGGTGTGACGTGTTAGGTGTTCAGGCAGCAGCAAGTGTCAGGTGTTAGGTGCACAGGCAGCACAAGTGTCAGGTGTTAGGCAAACAGGCAGCAGCAGGTGTTAGGTGCTCAGGCAGCAGCAGGTTTTAGATATTCAGGCAACAGCAGGTGTTAAGTGCTCAGGCAGCAGCAGGTGTTAGGTGCTCAGCCAACCACAGGTGTTAGGTGCTCAGGCAGCAGCAGGTGTTAGGTGATCAGGAGTTGAGTATGTGAGATGTTGGCTGCTTAGGTGTTGAAAGTGTGAGTTATTGTGTGCTTAGGCAGCAGCAAGTGTGAGGTGTTAGGTGCTCAGGCAGCAGCAAGTGTGAGGTATTAGGTGTTCAGGCAGCACAAGTGTGAGGTGTTAAGTGAACAGGCAGCAGCAGGTGTTAGGTGCTCAGGCAGCAGCAACTGTTAGGTCTTCAGGCAACAGCAGGTATTAGATGCTCAGGCAGCAGCAACAGGTGTTAGTTGATCAGGCAGCAGTAGTTATTAGGTTCTCAGGCAGCAGCAGGTGTTAGTTACTCAGGCAGCAGCAGCTGGTGTTAGGTGCTCAGGCAGCAGCAGGTGTTAGGTGCTTAGACAACAGCAGGTGTTATGTGCTCAGGCAGCAGCAGATGTTAGGTGCTCAGGCAGCAGCAAGTGTGAGGTGTTAGGTGCTCAGGCAGCATCAAGTGTGAGTGTTAGGTGTTCAGGCAGCACAAGTGTGAGGTGTTAAGTGAGCAGGCAGCAGCAGGTGTTAGGTGCTCAGGCAGCAGCAGGTGTTAGGTGCTTAGGCAACAGCAGGTGTTATGTGCTCAGGCAGCAGCAAGTGTGATGTGTTAGGTGCTCAGGCAGCAGCGAGTGTGAGGTGTTAGGTGTTCATGCAGCAGCAGGTGTTATGTGCTCACCCAGTAGCAGGTGTTATGTGGTCAGGCAGCAGCAGGTGTTAGTTGCTCAGGCAGCAGCAGGTGTTAGTTGCTCAGGCAGCAGCAGGTCTTTGGTACTCAGGCAGCAGCAGGTGTTAGGTACTCAGCCAGCAGCAGGTGTTAGGTACTCAGGCAACGTCAGGTGTTAGGTGGTCAGGCAGCAGCAGTTATTAGGTTCTCAGGCAGCAGCAGGTGTTAGTTACTCAGGCAGCAGCAGCTGGTGTTAGGTGCTCAGGCAGCAGCAGGCGTTAGGTGCTTAGGCAACAGCAGGTGTTATGTGCTTAGGCAGCAGCAGGTGTTAGGTGCTCAGGCAGCAGCAAGTGTGAGGTGTTAGGTGCTCAGGCAGCAGCAAGTGTGAGGTGTTAGGTGCTCAGGCAGCAGCAAGTGTGAGTTGTTAGGTGCTCAGGCAGCAGCAAGTGTGAGGTGTTAGGTGCTTAGCCAGCAGCAAGTGTTAGGTGCTCAGGCAGCACAAGTGGAGGTGTTAGGTGTTCAGGCAGCAGCAGGTGTTAGGTGCTCAGGCAGCAGCAGGTGTTAGGTGCTCACCCAGCAGCAGGTGTTATGTGGTCAGGCAGCAGCAGGTGTTAGTTGCTCAGGCAGCAGCAGGTGTTAGTCGCTCAGGCAGCAGCAGGTGTTCGGTACTCAGGCAGCAGCAGGTGTTAGGTACTCAGCCAGCAGCAGGTGTTAGGTACTCAGGCAACGTCAGGTGTTAGGTGGTCAGGCAGCAGAAGTTATTAGGTTCTCAGGCAGCAGCAGGTGTTAGTTACTCAGGCAGCAGCAGCTGGTGTTAGGTGCTCAGGCAGCAGCAGGTGTTAGGTGCTTAGGCAACAGCAGGTGTTATGTGCTCAGGCAGCAGCAGGTGTGAGGTGTTAGGTGCTCAGGCAGCAGCAAGTGTGAGGTGTTAGGTGCTCAGGCAGCAGCAAGTGTGAGGTGTTAGGTGCTCAGGCAGCAGCAAGTGTGAGGCGTTAGGTGCTCAGGCAGCAGCAAGTGTGAGGTGTTAGGTGCTTAGCCAGCAGCAAGTGTTAGGTGCTCAGGCAGCACAATGGAGGTGTTAGGTGTTCAGGCAGCAGCAGGTGTTAGGTGCTCACCCAGCAGCAGGTGTTAGGTGCTCAGGGACCATCGGGTGCTAGGTGCTCAGGGAGCAGCAGGTGTTAGGTGCTCAGGCAACAGCAGGTGTTAGGTGCTCAGGCAGCATCATGTGTTAGGTGTTCAGCCAGTAGCAGGTGTTAGGTGCTCAGGCAGCAGCAAGTGTGAGATGTTAGGTGCTCATGCAGCAGCAAGTGTGAGGTGTTAGGTGTTCAGGCAGCAGCAAGTGTAAAGTGTTAGGTTCTCAGGCAGCAGCAAGTGTGATGTGTTAGGTGCTCAGGCAGCAGCAAGTGTGATGTGTTAGGTGTTCATGCAGCAGCAGGTGTTATGTGCTCACCCAGCAGCAGGTGTTAAATGCTCAGGCAGCAGCAGGTGTTATGTGGTCAGGCAGCAGCAGGTGTTATGTGGTCAGGCAGCAGCAGGTGTTAGTTGCTCAGGCAGCAGCAGGTGTTAGGTGCTCAGGGAGCAGCAGGTGTTAGGTGCTCAGGCAGCAGCAAGTGTGAGGTGTTAGGTGCTCAGGCAGCAGCAAGTGTGAGGTGTTAGGTGCTCAGGCAGCAGCAAGTGTGAGGTGTTAGGTGCTCAGGCAGCAGCAAGTGTGAGGCGTTAGGTGCTCAGGCAGCAGCAAGTGTGAGGTGTTAGGTGCTTAGCCAGCAGCAAGTGTTAGGTGCTCAGGCAGCACAAGTGGAGGTGTTAGGTGTTCAGGCAGCAGCAGATGTTAGGTGCTCAGGCAGCAGCAGGTGTTAGGTGCTCACCCAGCAGCAGTGTGTTAGGTGCTCAGGGACCATCGGGTGCTAGGTGCTCAGGGAGCAGCAGGTGTTAGGTGCTCAGGCAACAGCAGGTGTTAGGTGCTCAGGCAGCATCATGTGTTAGGTGTTCAGCCAGTAGCAGGTGTTAGGTGCTCAGGCAGCAGCAAGTGTGAGATGTTAGGTGCTCATGCAGCAGCATAGTGTGAGGTGTTAGGTGTTCAGGCAGCAGCAAGTGTAAAGGTGTTAGGTTCTCAGGCAGCAGCAAGTGTGAGTGTTGTTAGGTGCTCAGGCAGCAGCAAGTGTGATGTGTTAGGTGTTCATGGCAAGCAGCAGGTGTTATGTGCTCACCCAGCAGCAGGTGTTAAATGCTCAGGCAGCAGCAGGTGTTATGTGGTCAGGCAGCAGCAGGTGTTATGTGGTCAGGCAGCAGCAGGTGTTAGTTGCTCAGGCAGCAGCAGGTGTTAGGTGCTCAGGGAGCAGCAGGTGTTAGGTGCTCAGGCAACAGCAGGTGTTAGGTGCTCAGGCAGCATCATGTGTTAGGTGTTCAGCCAGTAGCAGGTGTTAGGTGCTCAGGCAGCAGCAAGTGTGAGATGTTAGGTGCTCATGCAGCAGCAAGTGTGAGGTGTTAGGTGTTCAGGCAGCAGCAAGTGTAAAGTGTTAGGTTCTCAGGCAGCAGCAAGTGTGATGTGTTAGGTGCTCAGGCAGCAGCAAGTGTGATGTGTTAGGTGTTCATGCAGCAGCAGGTGTTATGTGCTCACCCAGCAGCAGGTGTTAAATGCTCAGGCAGCAGCAGGTGTTATGTGGTCAGGCAGCAGCAGGTGTTATGTGGTCAGGCAGCAGCAGGTGTTAGGTGCTCAGGCAGCAGCAGGTGTTAGGTACTCAGGCAATGTCAGGTGTTAGGTGGTCAGGCAGCAGCAGGTGTTAGTTCCTCAGGCAGCAGCAGGTGTTAGTTGCTCAGGCAGCAGCAGGTGTTAGGTACTAAGGCAATGTCAGGTGTTAGGTGGTCAGGCAGCAGCAGGTGTTAGTTCCTCAGGCAGCAGCAGGTGTTAGTTCCTCAGGCAGCAGCAGGTGCTAAGTACTCAGGCAGCAGCAGGTTTAAAGTTAGTAAATTTTAAGGTTTTTGTTACATAATAAACTATATTGTTGGCAGAACATTCATATACAAGGTTCATTATTTACCCAAGAATAACCCAATAAGTTAGTAAGTTTATTTAGGTACAAGTACACATAAATACACTTATCATACACAGTAACATATACATTAGTCACCAGAGTAACACAAAAAAGTCAAAGTGACTTAAATCCATTGTGTTCCTTGTAATATCTTATTATTTAAACCTTAAAAGTTAAAACAGCTAAGTAACTCAGCTGTGTGAAAATCAGTTAAGAACATAAGAACATAAGAAGGAAGGAACATTGCAACAGGCCTACTGGCCCATGCGAGGCAACTCCAATTCTCGTACCTGCTTAAGCCAATGCCTTGACCTAGTGAAGTCAGACACGTCACTTAAGGGAGGAGCAGTGCATCCAACCTAGTAGCACAAGCTAGTCAGGTCCAACTCACACCCACCCACACCCACTCATGTATTTATCCAACCTATTTTTTAAACTACACAACGTCTTAGCGTCTATGACGGTACTCGGGAATTTGTTCCACTCATCCACAACTCTATTACCAAACCAGTGCCTTCCTATATCCTTCCTGAATCTGAATTTTTCCAATTTAAAGCCATTGCTGTGAGTCCTGTCTATGTTAGATATTTTTAGCACGCTGTTTACATCCGCTTTATTGATTCCTGTTTTCCATTTATACACTTCAATCATATCCCCCCTAATTCTATGCCTTTCTAGAGAGTGCAGGTTCAGGGCCCTCAGCTATCCTCAT